ATTGCTCAAAGTAACAGTGGTAGTCTTTTATTATTTAACTGGAAATTATTATTACAATTTCAACTAATAATCATTTGTTTCATTTGTACAATTCAGGCTGCAAACCATCATTACTACAGTGGTCCACTGGCCACTATCTTCCTATTCTTATTAATTCTTATAGTGTGATAATTTATACTAATTCAGCCATACTGACAGCTGAACATTCTCTTTTGATTTATCTGATATCTGTTGGGGTTAAAAGTGAAAACTAGTATCTTATTCTATAGCAGTCCATCACAAATGACATCATTTTCTGCAACAGGTATTTTTTACTCTGATCTATGACTTGTAACAACTCTGCCTCATAAAGGTTTTTATTAGCAAACAATACACTACTGATTTTAAAAGTTAATAATTTATTATTTCATAAAACCAGGATAAATTTATGTAGAAATAGTACAAATTATTTCTGAACAATAGGTTACAGTTGCAACTTTCTCAAAACATATATACTGGGTCTCTAAACCCAGTACGCTGGTATTAGGAGGTGGGACCCTTGGAGGCAAATAGATTATGAGGGAGGAACCTCCTAGAATGATATTCATGCTTTTCTAAGGAAAAGCTACAGAGCTAGCTAACTCTGTGCTAGGTGAAGTCAAAATACGATGCTGGTAGCATACAAGCTACATGATGCTACATCCTGGAAGACAGTGGGCATCAGAACTTGACCAGACTGGCACCTTGATCTCAGATTTCTAGACCTGCTTAGGCCACCCACTTTTTGCTATATTGTTATAGCAGCTTGTGTGACTTAACACTGCAAAAACTTCTTCCAAACACAGCCTCTTGCCCCCTCGCATCCTGGTAGGGAGTGTCTACTCTCTAAATATTTCTCACAACAAGTAATGTTGTTGCATTACCTGGATGTACTTGTGCTCCGGTAGCCCACCAGGGACCTTGACAAGCTTGTTGTTGTTCAAGTGAAGCTCCCTCAGGTGAGGAGTGTTGGCCAGAGAACCATTTTCAACAACAGAGATGCTGTTAAAACTCAGTCCCAACCTGCAAGAGCAAGCAGAAATGAAGGCCTCTACCACACACCGAAGCCTTTTTGATAGACTTTGTGTGATTAAGCAAGTGGATAGAAAGAGACATTTCTTGTTTTCACACATACTATTCTATCTTAGAGAACTGTCCCCAATATCTCTGAGCCCAAGCAGAGCCTTTTGATTCTTAAAGTCTCAACTGAGCACCAAGTTCTTTGAGATTCTCCTGATGGAAGAAGACAGGATGAACAACTCTAGTAAATGCTCCACAGCATCCTATATTCACCCCTTGCAAAATGTAAGGCTTTGTACTTGTATTTCACTCCTTTGGAATAGTGCCTCCCACGTGGTATTTCCACTATTAACGTAGTATTTGGCATGCTCAGTCAATCGCTTCTGAACTGATCTTTATGTGTAAGGAATATAGTAAATTAATCTGAGACAGAACTAAAAAAAAAAGTAGCAGTGTCATTTTAGCTACTTTGGAAACGCAGCAATTGTGTACTCATCAACTTATTCATACAAAATAAAAGTTGTAGTATTCGATGAAGTCAGTAAACCTACTTTTTAGAAAGGTTAACAAAAGTAGTCTATTGCATTAGTTTTATAGAGTTCCTTGGTGACGATCTAACAGTCACTCTCAGAACATGCCTACGTCAGCAACTGTTTCTGACTCAGACCTCTAATTTGGTTCTTTATCTCTTGTCCCTTTCCCATCACTGACACAGGGCCTTCAAGTTTAATCAACGCAAACTTTTGTTCCATATTTTTTAACTTAAATGCATAACATCTGGGGGGTCTTGCTGCTTCCAGGGCCAGGCGAAGTTGACTTTCATTCATGATTTGTCTAGTCAACATTCTAGGGATGAAACAATCAAGAACAGAGGGATTTCAATCCAAAAGGCAGAAAGGAGTAACAGATACGAGGTAATAAAATAATGAAAAAGAGACAGAAGAGCTCAAAGGAGGGAAAGTGGAGGAGTTTATGGGGTTCTTTCAAATGCTAAAGAAGAGATTTGGATGCTTTCTGTAGTATAGTTTCTCCTAGGCTTCAGCTAATTCTGATTTTTGAGCCTTCTTGGAATTTAAATGCTGATTTAAGCAAATTTTTATTAGTTTTATTATGAAAATAATTGATTTGAAATAAGGGAGAATAATATTTGTTGCTTTTATGGCATAAACAGCACAACTGGATTATTTTAACTATTGAGTATTAATCTGGCTTCTTGACTCAGAACTTTTTATTTTAGCCTCAATCTTGAACATTCATGCCATGCTCTGGTGTTTAATTTTCTATTTCAGAATGGTGTCTCCTATACATCACAGCACTCTAAATCACAGTATTCTATTTGGGTCTGGTACACTTACTAAAATATAACATTTCTAATGCACTATAAAAGGAAATTGTTCATTTTAATCCACTTACAAATTGAATCAAAAAAGTTTTGGGGAACATAATATATTTGTGAAATTACTTTGGGCATTGAAATGGGCAGTGGCCACATAGCTAAGAAACCATGGCCTTTGCATATATATATTTATGTAACATATAAACATTATGTTTTATATTTCTGAAGTGGTGCATACACTATTTTCTCCCAATGTCTTTATAAAAGTGAATTGGAGGCCTGGGGATTTAGCTCAGTGGTTTCGACGCCTGCTATGCAAGTGCGAGGGCCAGGGTTCGATCCCCGGTACCAAAAAAAAACAAAAAGAAAAAGTGAATTGGAATAGTTGCCCTGAAACAATGTTCTGACATCAGTGGCTGCTTCATCTGTTCTTCAGTTTTCTTAACATACTACCGTGAAGAGTGCATTTCTCATTAAAGACAGTTGTTAAAATAGCCCTACAAGAAGCGTTTCTTATCATATGAGACTCAAGAGTGACATATTGCAGCTATAGTCACCTGCATGTGCTCCTCGTTAGCCTTTGCTGTTCACTAGGTCACTGCGGAGCAGCCACTGAGCTGGGAAAAGTACACCATATACAGCCCTTCGGTGTTACTATTTCTCAAATACACAGGATATACTTTATGTTTATTTATATTCCACAAAATTTACAGATAAAAACAGGAGAAAGTCAGTTTGGTATCATCACAGAGTAGAAGCATTTGGTGTAATAACATGCAGCAAAATACACACAATCAAGAACAGAGTGTTCTTTGAACTGGAAAATTTTGCAGTCATTCTGCTCTATTCCTCACTTAACCAGACCCCAAATACAGAGAGATTGTTGTTAGACCAGAAAGCAGATACCAGTGATCATTTCTAAAAAAGAAGGATCACAAAAAGCCTTCTTATATTTTAGGTTACAATAAATGTGGACATGTTTTATTTTAAACCCTTCAGAGAAGAAGCAGTTTGAGAATTTCTTCACATTTATTCTAACGGTAAATTGTTATCTTTTTTTTTCTTGGTGCCAGAAATCAAACTCAGGACCTGCATTGGCTAGGAAGGTGCAGGACCACTGAGCTATATCTCCAGCCCCTTTTTATCTATTTTTTTTCTAATGGTAATTTGTGGGATGGCCAATGTTTTTATATTCCTGTAGTCATCATTTTAAAGTATTTTCAAATTTTTGAGACACTGTGGTATAATTTTCCCAATGGTCTGTTTGATATTACTAAACTAAACTGATATTACTAAACTGATTATATTGAATTGACATATTAAACTAAAATCATATTAAACTAAAAACTGATATTATTAAACTGATTATATTGAATTGACATATTAAACTAAAATCTGATTTGATCAAACCCCTTGTACTTCAGTTCTAAAAACTATATGGTAGTCATGATATATGAGGGTTATCTTAGTGCTTATAGTAGTTATGCTCTTTCACTGACTTTTCTTTTCAAAAAATCATTAGATAAATTGACGCTTGGAGTTGTTATAAACAATAATGGATGCTAAAAATAAAGAAAATCATGTTTCTAACTGTGAGCATGTAGGTGCTAATATACCTAGCTACTGTTCTGACAGAAATTAATAACAGAATATCATTACTTAGCCAAATTATTCAATCCTTTCAGGCTAGATGCATCAACCTTGCTGATTTTATTTCCATCAAGATGTAATTCGGTAAGGGTAGAAGGGAGACCTGGAATATGGAAATACAAGATGCTGGATTAACAAATAAACATTATATCAACAGAATATGGCAAGAATTTATGAGAACATATGCCATCAATTTTCTCAAAGACAGAGTTTCAAAGAATCGTTGTCTCTTTTATAGTAATATATCCATTTAAAAGTAAACCATGAACTGTTTTCACAATGTAACAGATTTTTATCCTAGCAGTGGTAAAACTTCATCTCATCATTAATTTCCACTGTTGTTAATGTGCTAATACTGCCCTGATAAAAGATGCATGCTATAAAATGATAGAAAATGAGCACTTAAATGCAATAAAATAATTAGTATATAAGTTAAAACCAATATGCAAACTCAAATAGGCATTTCATTAGTGAGAATCATGGATAACTAACACTGGTACATTATGCTGGCTTTAAACTAAGCAGCTTTTTCAAAAAAATCAAACAAATCAGTTACGTGGCTGTAGGAAGATCTCAAGCTTAGTTGGACCTATTAAAACAATACTATTACTTTATATGAGTCCTTGGCCTATAATCAAGTGATTGATTAGCCATATGTACAGCACCTGGGGAAATAGTTTTAAATACAATACCCACTAACACTCTGGATAGCACTTCTTGGATAGCTGTGATTTCCAATGATTTAGTAAAATAACTACAAAAGACAAACATTTTATTTTCATTTCTTTCTCCTCTCTGAGGATGTATTATGTTTTTATATAGCTTTTCAAATAGCGCACTGTTCCACTTTAAAGAATAGCAACAACTACAAAGAAAATAGTCAAATATGTGTATAACTAAAATCTGATTGGCAGAAAGTTTTATTTATTTATCTATAAAATACAGAATTGAAAAACAAAGGTCACATTTGGTGTGAAGTATTCATTATATCTCACTGAATTATGCTAATTCTACTGGAAAAATTTGTTTATTTTTAAATAAAAATTTTGTAACTCTCTATGGTATGTTTTGGTATAAAATGTTAAAAAATAAATTTCTATTTATTAAATGTGTACTGTGTACAAAACAATCTTAGCTCTTTTGGTAATCAATTCTACTAATTCCC